AAACATTGTCGAAAAGTTGTACATTTGCTGTTATGTTAAACTTATATTAAAGTTTTTCTTCATAACCCATTCAAGCCGTCTCCAACCATTATTAGTCTCAAAGTGAGTTCCTCGTCATTGAAATTGTTTTATTAGGTTGATACAATGCATCGGTGTAACAAACTGTATCCATTGTTTCATTGCCATTTTTAATATGATCCACATTATACATCGTACAAAGCAGGACTGTCATGTCTACCATTTTAACTTCATCTTTTCAGTTCTCATTTACTCCCTCCAAAAACACATGTACAGAGAAAAGTAGAACACACGAGTGCACACACACACACACATACAAGCTATTTATTAAATAGTTCAATATTTTGACAACAGGAATTTTTAAACTACTCTTCACCAAAAGTTAAAAAATTGGTAATTTAATACTGACCAGAAAAACATGTTTAAATAAATAAACAACTTTCTCTAGATAACTTCTACTCTACCACTAAGTGTTTCATAATATTTAGTAATTTTGAGGAATAACAACTTTTGGAAAATACTGTATCTAAAGCTTTAGTCAATTCCATACCCGTCGTAAACCTTTAAAGATATGTTTCTCTCGAGTTACTTATCTATATGATTACTATACTTATATTATCATGTTTTTAAATACTTCCGCACGTGACATCATTTATGAGGTCTTAATATACGTCAAAGAAATTGGTTTATTGTGAGAGAAATGACATCTACAAGAATCTATTTACAAATGAGTTTAAAAATCAAAGGAGAAACTTACATTTTTCAAAGAACGACTTAAAACTTCACCTACACTACCCTTCTTAACTCTCTCTGAAGTAGAACAACAAGGCTTATCTCCAGACCCACTAGACAAGTCAATTATCTCTTCTAACGCTGTTCTTCCTTCAATTATCAACTGGAATAAGGAGTCCAGGATTTCCTCAATCTAGAATAAAAAAAGTTACAAATGTTCATATCAATCAACAAGATTAAATTACACCATAAAGGGGTAAGATTTCCCTTACAAATTCTCAATCTGTAGAGTAGCATTTCACTTTGAGGATTTCCTTACCCACAACTGAATATTTATTTTTTTATGAATTCTTTGACTTACAACAAAGCATTACAATATCTACGGGGTTTCGAGTATGTTTTACTTCGCCATATAGTAACCTAAATTAATATAGATATGCGAATATTGTCATGACATTTCGTTGAATTCATTATTCAATATTATACAGTGGACCAACTGTTTAGTGATGGTACATGTGCATTAAAGATTTATTTTCTTTTTCACCAGAGTTGAAATTAAAAAGAGAATCTATCTAATCATTAGACCTCTAGGTCACAGATTCTCTTGTCAATTTCACCTCTGGTGAAAAAGAAATCTTTAATATATATATATAAGAGCATTACGATGTTATCTTTAGAGACTGCAATACAACTAAGAATCCAATCTTGACAAGAACAAAATTTAAAGGACATTTCAAGGTCATACTTTACACTGAAATAAATAATATAAAAACAATGTAAAATTCTAGCAGAGTATATTCTGATGGTAGTAAATCTTATTAAAAAAAATTGTTTGTTTTAGATATTTAATCACCAACTCTGGGACCACTCTAATCAAACAGTGGGATTTGACTATCACACTTATAATGCACTCATGATCCCAAAGTGCAGATTAAGATTTTGGAGCAATAGAGCACAAATTATGGATTCTTAGATCCACAGTTCAGCGTAATAACCACTAGGCCATGCCCAGACAAAAGTTTAAAAAATAATGGAAACATAATCCTAAAAGACAATCAATATATGAGCCATATTTTAATGAACCGGAACAGTTTATTATTTATAATTCATTGGTTACGTGGGTTAAACTGTCTCAAACTTTCTGTAACATCTAAGTTTAATGACCTTATTTCATCCACTCTGATAAATACAGTGTGAAGCAGCAATCGAAGAGTCCCTTCAGTAAACACATTCATGTCTCAAACTTTAGGGATTTCTTTAATTTAACATTTGTATTTGAAATGTTATCTCAAACTTCTATTTTAATGTGCCATTTTTAACTTTTTTCTTTTTAACATATGTCCGAGATATTCCCTTATGAAACTCTCTGATGATTGTTTTTTTGAATTTCATGCAAAGTTGTACGAGGGCTATCTGCGCTAGCCGTCCCTAATTTAGCAGTGTAAGACTAGAGGGAAGGTGGCTAGTCATCACCACCCACCACCAACGCTTGGGCTACTCTTTTACCAACGAATAGTGGGATTGACCGTCACATTATAACGCCCCCACAGCTGAAAGGGTGAGCATGTTTAGTGGGACGGGGGATTCGAACCCGCAACCCTCAGATTGCCAAAACGAGCGCCCGAACCACCTGGCCCGCTCTGATGACCAATCAGACATCTGTAATGGTCATACTCTAGAATTTAGGAAAAATATATATACCTTACAAAAATATATATACCTTACACTACAACTTACTTCTACATTGTAAAGTAGATTGTACGTTAGTCCTATGCTAGGGTTCTGGAATTCTCATATTTAACTAAAATACAATAATTAAATTAATCCTTCATGAAAAGGTTTGATAATTTTCACAGTAATCTTTTAACTTTAAAATGTAATTATTTTTACTTCAGAAAAATGTATTCTCTCTTACAATTCCCAGAATTTCGATCGGCTTACCTCTGGCACTAGATAATGTGCCATGTCTAACCTTTCACCCCCAGACAAGTTACTAAATGACTGTTTTATTACTTCCAAAAGCTTGTGAAGCTGGTTCATAAAGACTGGTAACCTGAAGAAGGAGAAAATCGTGAAACATAATTTATAATTTCATTGACTTAATCAGGTTGTTGATGATTAAAACACACTTTACACGTTACAGTATGAAGTAAAAATACTGTATCAGAAGTATGGACACTTACTGTATTCAAGACACTTTACACGTTACAGTATGAAGTAAAAATACTGTATCACAAATATGGACACTTAGTGTATTCAAGACAATTTACATGTTACAGTGTGAAGTAAATATACTAGAGAAATAATCTAGCACTGTGATGCTTCAAAAAAACAGCCTGAACAAAAACAAACTGTTTTGCTTAAATCTCCCATTAAAAAATGTATCACAATAAATAACCAAGTAGACCATTTTCCTAAACTTACATTTCAAAAAACAGAAGCAAGATACATGATCAAACACCTAACAAAAATACTACAAGATGTAACATTTAGTCTTTTTTCATATATATAGTTGAAAACTAATAATCTGTCTATAAACAGAAATAAAATCAAGACCTATATGTCCAAAATGTAACTTTATTAGCTCAATATTTCAATATTACAGCTTTATCATTACCTGATGAAGCTGAAATAGAGCTAATAAAGTTAAATTCTGGAGATATAGGTCATGATTTTATTTACGTTTATAGAAATGTCTCAATAAATTCCAGTTTGCGTTAAACAAAGTTATAAATAATAACCAATAATCTATAGTTATTTAACAACATGCCTCCAATCAAATCAAGATACGCTTCAATATTAATCATTCTACAGAGAGGTGCTTCCATGACGTATCCATTTAACTGTCCCATACAGTAAGCAGCTGGAAAATTAAACAGGTATTCATGCTATTCCATATGAAGAAATATTGGTTAAGTTGCCAGACAAATCACCTATGGATTTGTATAGGATCAGACTGATGAAAAGGGTGCTGAGAAACTATCATACTTTTATACTATATGGATTACAGAAAGCTTTCAAGAAAGTATGAGGTGCTTTGGACATGACAGTTTCATGATTGAGCCTTTTATTATGGAAACTATGGCATATGACTGTTTTCAAGATGCTGGAAATGGTCAGTAATAAAGTAGTGAGGTTCAAAAATCATTTTTATATGTCATCCTTAATCTCCATATATCTACATCTAAACATGCTTTAGTTTATCCCATATCATGCACTAAGGACAATTATATTTAAGATTGATGATATTTTAATTAACAAACATTAAAATAAATTCAAAATGAGTCACAGAAAGAAAAAAAAAAAGATTGCCACTAAGAAATTAATCCAAAATATATTTCTCTTTTTTTTAAAAATAAAGAAAGGTTTAAACAGGATGACACCCACCAGAGAATAGTCATTGTTCGGGAACAATAAGAATGCTCAGGTTTGTCTTCACACCTAAAATAACATGGAATTTAACTACATGCTGAAAATAACCAGAGGGAGCTAGAAGCACTGCTCACCTAGACTTACAATACTTGATTATTTCATGTCTTTCTTCCCTCGACAGTTCGTGATTTCTCCGTGAAAATAAGTCGCAAAGTATTAGCAGCTTTGCCCCCGCTGAAAGAGAGAATTCCTCAATTCAAGAATCATAAACAGCTAGAAAATAAGATTAAACAGATATTAAGCCCTCTCTGAAATGTAGCTTTTGAACTTACCAATGGTAAAATTAAAATAGACTTCTCCAATTTAACATATTTTACACTAACTTGATCTACTCTATTTTCAAGTATTAGCTTAGAAGATCTCTTGAAAGTTAGAAAAAATGTATCAAATACTCACCCTCAGTGTATCTCTTTTCCAAAAGTACATAAAGATATCACAATAAAAAGACGTACTATAACTTGCTGTATTTATACTCTTTACAAGTAAATAAAAGATAAAAATTGATCAATAAAGTGACTTTCCCAGTCTACAGCTTACCCACTGCACTTTCTCGTAATGCCTGCTTGACAATATAACAAAGTCTAGCAGGATTAGCAGCAAGGTTGTCCCCATCAGCTCCATTAGCACCCCCACTACTAGAGAGGGGACCATTAACTGCATCAAGAGCAACGTCATGTGTCCCTCCCTTGCCACTAAAATAGTCGATAATCTTTCCAGCACAGTTATGCATGTCTGTTACCAAACTGATGATCTCTTTAAAAACAGAAAAAAGTGGATGTTAATTAGAAAAATTACGCAGTAATACCAGGCTTCCCTGTCAATTAAAAAAAAAAAGGATTTAACATGAAAATGTAATTTCTTTCACAAGCTCATTGGCCAAACAAACGTTTATTATGGGTTGTCTGCCTAATTTCTTTCAAAAACAAATCAATGTTTCAATCTGAATAACTCAAAAAATCGCAATATTATTTGGAACAAATAAATTCATGTTTTTTCAAGGAATTTATCAAATTTTGTTTATCATTACAGTCCAAAGTCCCCTTTTTAACAAATTTTTATAAAAAACAAAAATATATACGTCATTCAAGTTGGAGAAAAAAATATGTTTTATAGGTTATTTCTTAAAGAAAAATAGGAAAACTTTCAAAACATGTATTTTACAGGTTTACCGAAAGGCCTGAAATATTATTATTATGTCCATAAAGTACTTCAGTTACGAAACATGAATTGCCCTCATTGGTCATTCAGTTCACATTTTAAAGTTTACAATGAACTTCGAAATGGATGACAAATAATTATTTGTTACTTTCAAACAAGATTAATGTTCAAGACACAAAAGTGTGTATGTTTGAATAAACGAGATTCATGTTCTATAAAAAATCTAAAGGGAAATATTAATAGATTTGTATACAATCACATTGGGTTAAACATACAAATAGTCAGAAATAAGACACAAAAATATATAGTGTTCACCAATCAAATTACATCAATATAGTAATATATAATGTTTACCAATCAAATTACATCAATATAGTAATATATAATGTTTACCAATCAAATTACATCAATATAGTAATATATAATGTTTACCAATTCAATTACATCAATATAGTAATATATAGTGTTTACCAATCAAATTATTTTAACTTGGCAAGTTTTCCACTATATTTTCTATCAAACACATCAATATATCTATATTTCATACGTTGTTTTAATGCAGCATTTTTCAAGAACAGCTCACACAACTCTCCGAAACGGGTGAAGCCAGGAAGGTGGGCAACTTTCTGCAGACAACTCTTCGTTGTTTCTTCCTGAAGACCAGCTGGGAGACACTCACAGTAAAGATAATACAAAGTAACGTACAAAACGTCTACCGGGAGCCCCTGAAGCGGACAGGGTTGCTGGTCCCACTGGATCGCAGGATTTCCAAGGTTCAGAATAGTACTGTGGACTAGAAACTAGAGCAAAAATTATAACTTTCTGTACAAACAAAACCAGTTGTATTGGGATGATAAATTTAGATTTTTTAACAAAATAAAATATTTTAAAAATGATGAAACAGTTACAATTGTTGAAAATATTTGCAGCGAATTTCTAAATTAACTTAGTCTCAAAATAAAGCAGGTGGAAACTTTCATAATCATGCATACAAAAAACTCAACACTCAATTTAAATAATCAAATTACTAAAACTGATAAATTATCAAACCAAATTTTATTCACAGAGAGATTATGTTTACATCAACCTTCCTTCATTTTTATTTGTAATTTTTTTTTATTACAAATTTGCCAACTTCCATGTTTGAAGTGACCAAACAGTATCTATATCAAAAATACAATTACCAGTTCTTATATTCTGAAACAAAACACAAACAGTTAAATAGTCAATCTACAATCCAAACAAAATATCTGCATAAAAACAAACAGCCTAACTCATTTTGAGGCTACTCAAGAAAATCTTCCCCAGCTTTAAGTATATGTTGATGTGTAGTAATTGGGGCACCAAAACGTACCTCTTTCCCATCTGCAGCTTTTATGATCATATCAGAAAAATAACCTTCCTCTAAGGCACACATGAACGAGAAGGGAACGTCATGCTTTGAATCATTTGTTGACACCTAGAATATAAACATGTTAAGTATTAAGCAGCAACACCGAAACGTGTATTGTTTTTTAAATGGAAACCATTGATGGTTTCGATAAATGTTTTAATATGTATAGAAAAAGGTATTCTAATTATTCATTGAATTATAAACATTAATTAAAATTCAATGCTCTTTACTGGTGAATATCGGTTAGTCACGCAAGTTACAAAAGTACGAATTGATCTGGAACCAGAACGTGAACTACCGGAATAAATACCGACTTTTTCAAAGTTTCTCCTTCTGCCTCTAATATATTTTTCCCGCTAACTAAAAATATGATTTCAAGACAAAAACAAGGTGATTTTTATCTAATGAGTGAGTTAGTCTGATGAAAACACACAAGCAAACAGAGATGATTCTAAGTTGTAACAGTATTTAATTCTGAAAGGAGAGTAGAGACACCTGGACAGTAAAGTGAAAGATTGTGCATGAAGATAAAAAAATCTCAGATATTACTCTATTTCATTTCCAAAGGATAACAAGGAGCCATCTGGTCCATCTAGGCTATCCAACTTTTAACTATCACCCTGCTCGGAAATACGTAAAGAAACTCCTTTTCTTATACCTTACCCTTATCTCTAAACAATATGGTAAAAACCATCTACTATATTAGAAACGTAACACCATCCTAACTGGAGCTGTGTCTGGTTTAAGTGAATAAACTTCAGCAGATGACTTTCATTGCACAGAAAATCAAAATTTAAAGTAATAAAGTCCAACTGCCACCAGTGTGAAAGCAACACCAGGCTGGATTTACAGAGTGTACAACCACTCTTTTCACACACACACACATTCAGTGTGAAAACAACACCAGGCTGGCCTCACAAAGTGTACAACTACTCTTCTTATACACACGCACAGTGTGAAAGCAACACCAGGCTGGAAAAACTCTTTTCACACACACAGTGTAAAAGCAACACCAAGCTGAACTCACAGAGTGTACAACCACTCTTTTCACACATTCACATACAAACAAACAATCAGTTTGAAGGTACTGTCTGCACACAAACCAAATCTCACTAAATAAAATGGTTTCTTGTACGAAGAACCAAACTTCTACTGAATGGAATCAAAAGTTTCAGACAACAGCAACAATGGATCTTTAGAAGAAAGGATGATACTGAATTCCCAAACGTAGAACAATTAGAGATGATAAACCATTCACTATTTTCCTTTAAACATAAAACAGTATTAACAATATTCTCCAAATAGTCAATACCATCAGTGAGTCATCTGGATATGGTAAAAAAAAAAGAAAATCTTGATAAAACTGAATTAAGAAAAATTCTAAAGCAGCATACTGAGAATAGCAGTATAACTACGAATGAGAAGGAACAAAATTACGAGCTGTTCACTTTCAGACCAGAGAGTTGTTAATCTAATACTGTGAAATAATTTTAGAGCACTAAACAAACAAAATAATTACTATTCATACATCTACATTTAAACTAAATCATTAAATTCATTATTTTCTTTACATCCAATACACTGATTATAAAATTAAACACTAAATCAAATGCTAAGTTAAAAACAACGATATCATAATTGACTAAACAGAAATGTAATTGTTATGGACGTCAAACAGAATGAAATGAAGCTGGACAGTAAAACCTTTTGTTAAATATAGTTAACAATAGAAAGATTGATATATGTGACGTATAAGGAACTTTTTAAAGCTTATAAGATGTGAATTAACGTCTTCTACCACCCATTTATAGGATTCAAATATTAACAAGTTTCAAACTGTCAAATGTAAATAACCACTTTTAATACATTAGGCACTTGAACACAGTTTACAAAGCACACTTGAATGATTAAGTAATATATACGTGCCACCACTATAAGACTGAAATCTATGGACTTTAGAATTACCTATAACATTTACACTGAAACACGTTTCATAATGACTTTTCTGTCAATAGACCTTTCAATTTCTTAAGTTTCTATAAACATTTCAACTAACCTTTTCACACTGCAGCACACACCACCCTTCGTACGTAAGTTGTATTGTATCCTCTTTTGGTTGATCCACCTAACAAAAAGATTTACACTTTATGTTACGTATTTTTCTAGAACTCGGAGAGAGAGAGATTAAATCTCCTTACTTATGGTAAGTTATTTCTATATTTGTTAATCTTGATGAATCAACCACAACAACTAGTAAATTATACTTGAGAACTTATTATCAGAGAGGCCATGTTTTAAGAAATGCGTAGTGAATTGACTAGTAACTACAAATTCCATGCACTTCTTCCAATTATTGGCAAGAAACAAGAAAAAAAACAAACAGCTGTGTACAAATATTCTCCCTTCAATCCAATTTGGAGAGTCTGTTCACTGTTCTGGCTTGGCTACAGCTGGTTTTTCCTAATACTCGGCTGTCTGTCTAGGTAGATTACCATTAGATACAAGAAAAAAAACTGATAGAGAAAGCAAAGAACTTCAATTGACAGTGACTGTGTCATGTGAAGCGTAAAAACTTCTGCCTTTATGTCCAGCCCAGATGTTGGTTTACAGTTTTTTCATACAGACACAATACACATGATATGATAAAGTTTGATTTAATGCAACCTCTGTTATTATTCTATACTTAGAAAAAATTTCAACATTGTACGAATCCTTTCAATAAAATATAAATGGTGATTATCTAATTCATTTCTACAAAAACCCTTGAAAATCTACAAAGTATAAATAAGACTTGAAACTGTGTAGAAAAAAATCCTTTAAACTCAAGTAGAGTTTCCACTGGATGCCAATTCTATAAAAAATATATTTTATTTTTTATCCTTTGGTTTCCAATTCTGGTTTTGGTTTATATTTATATATTTGTGCACTATTACCATCCATGTAAAATGTAACAACAGATAGATGTAATAAAAACTGTTCATACGGATAAAAGAGAGAGGATTTTGATAGAAAGTCTTATCACTGTTTATTTCAAATCAAATAATTAAACTCTACTTGGACTTTCAAAAAGACATTCACAAACTTTAGCAGTCTACAGTATTAATTTAAGAATCATTAAAAAAAAACAAAGCTGTCTTTGTTTATAAAAACAATGTGCATGAATTACTGACATTCACCCTCAACTAACAGTAATGCACCCTTAAGTTGTTACATACCATCCCTCAACTAACAGTAATGCACCCTTTAAGTTGTTACATACCATCCCTCAACTAACAGTCAACTTAAGGGTGCATTCTACATACCATCCCTCAACTAACAGTAATGCACCCTTTAAGTTGTTACATACCATCCCTCAACTAACAGTAATGCACCCTTTAAGTTGTTACATACCATATTTGATTAATCTAGTCTAGTGCTAAACGAGATATTCATTTTATAGGACTGATTTAATATTCTTATACATCTCAAACTCCTCACCAGGGGGGGATACTGTGACAGAGTTTACAAATACATCTACTGAAAACTGCTTTACAAATCTTTAAAATTCTTGTTCTTGATTTTACCTATGATCTTGAGGCCACTTTTATTTTTTTTAAGTTATTTTAAACATTTTCTATTTTTCAGCCTTAACACGCTTTAAATGCATTTGTTTGTGATTAGTCAGACTTTTTATTTATCACGGGAGATAAGTACAATTTTAATTTCTTTAGCTGCTATGCAATAAGCCCTTCACATTTCATCTCTTCTTCGCAAACACATTGTTAGGATGAGTTTGTACGTAAAGTTTTAACAATATTTGTTTTTCTCATAAAGCAAACTTTTAATGAAAACTTCCACAGTTTTAAAGAATTAAGATTTCTTCAAAAATTTAGTGTATAAAAATATCCATACTTATGGCTAAAAAACTAGTATTTATCAACACCACTCACCTGGAATTCAATCACATGGCCATCAAAAGTACCAAACAATCGAAGATAATGAGGATTTCCCAGAAAAACCTGAAATTTAACAAACTGCCTTGTTACAATTTATAAATGTAATTAACGAAGTCCTACATTTTAACACGTACTGTATGTAAAAACTGGTATCAATCCTTTACACATGCTTAAAACATATAAAGAAACACTTTAATAATACTTTACTAAACGGGAATTTTGTTTGTGGTGGAAATGGGGGGTTTACACATTTGTTATTACAAATCTTTAGGATTACACCCTCACTCCGGCAACTTTTATTTACTGTGAAACCTCCGTTATTTTTCTCAGGGTTGTAAAAAATGCTAATTAGTTCATTAAAATAAATATTTTATGACTTGAAACCTGTAAGAATGTATTATTTGAGTTCAGACACCCATCATGACTATTGTGGTTGAATGCCTTACTTTTAGACATGAGGTGCCGACAAGTCGTTGGGGGTCACAAGTAAGTCAAAACTGATCAGAATAAGATTCCATGGGTATCATTTCTTGTATTCTGCCTTCCAAACAACTAATATCTTTTTTACTCGTGTGTATATCAGATTTAAAAAAAATGGAACCTGATTTTCAAAAAAATATTTTATGTAATGCAAGTTATTAAAAAATGGGATTCTAGGAAGTGGCTCTAGGATTGTGTCAGTGTGTCTACAACTATTCTTACATGACCTTAACATTGAAAACACCAACTATTTTTATTTTTCCTACTACAAATTTAAGGGCTGCTACATGTAACAACACTATTCTTCTCTAAAATTAACTGTAACGATGTCATAACTAATTATTTGTTTGTTTGTTTTGAATTTCGGTCTTACACTGCTAAATTAGGGACGGCTAGCGCAGATAGCCCTCGTGTAGCTTTGCGTTAGAGGGAAGGCAGC